GATTTCTTGGAAAGAGAATTAAGAACGGATTTAATAAGAAAAATAGATAGACTGCAGTGATTCAGTGCAGGGTTCAGTCACACAAATGTATTGACCAGCGACTGCTTACGCACTACCAGCCTATTTTATACCTCCTTCCTCTCTATACCCACCCCATCCTTGTTTTACCCAGATTCACTTCCTCTGAACATTCCTTAATAAGTCTAAGGGTACAAATTCTATGTATGAATTGGAGAATTCAGTCAGAATAATAATGGCATGCCTAATGTTAGCTGTTTGTTATTAATTTATGTTAAAAGTGTTATTTCATAAAAGAGTAAATAGAGTTTTGAAAGCTCAGTGAATGAACTAAACAACTAATAAAACCCAAAAATACGTAACTGACATGAACATAGGCATTGCTAGTCCAATAGATGCATTCTATCATTGTGAACACAACTTGAACAAAACAACCTTTGCTTATTTTGAATAAATACTTGTAAATAATAATTGTAGATATAAATATAAAAAAAAAAATAATTTTATTTGCATCTCATCAATTTACAGTGACAAGAATATTTCATACTATCATTCAGATCATACGAACTAGTTACTGCTAGTGTCTTTCCTCATTTTGGAAAAAAGGTATGTCAAAGTTTATCAAATCTCAAACATCATTTACACAATCTCGGTATTATGTTTGTGTTTTCTGTGCACAAGCTCAATATCAGAAAAGAAGAATGTTTTGAATGTGTTGCCAGCTTCACACACTTAGAATAGCATTCGAGATACAAGATTCATAATTATACAACTCATCTTGTCTGAGAACACAATACAGCCAGGATGGAATATCAATAGAGAAATATCTGTTTTCATAGAAAAATGTCTGTTTTCACATGGGTTGTTTTTTAGGTAACTATTCTTGAAATTGCCTTAGTGTTGGCAAACACTTTTACACAGGATCACTGGAAGAAATGTAGACTTAAATCAACCACATTTAGTCAGAAAATAATTGCAAAATGATATACTGTATTAGTCAGTCAGTCCTGTTGCAGGGTATGCTGATGTACTACATACTTTCCTGTTACAGCAAGACCTGAGGCAATCTATATCAGAGCAGGAAAAAAGAGGTAAATTCCTGAAAGTCTGCCTTCTCCTCCCATAATACTTATTATGCTTAGAAACAAGAAAGGATTCTGCATTTTCTTTTAGCTAACTGGAGAACAAAAAGGGATGTAATTCACACTCATACTCTCCTTTTCTCTTCTCAATCCTTACCAGCTACCTGGAGAGTAGATTGCAATGATTGCTGCTGTCCACTAGAGTTGAGTGTATTGACTGTTTTCATGTCATTATGGGTTTGGGTTTGGGTTTACAGTATCTGGAAGGGTGTTGCTCCTGTCTCCTCCCTTTCTCTCCCTCATTAGGTCAAAATTGCAAGGACGCAAAACATTTTTGTGGGGAAAATTTCGAAAGCAAAATGTCCTCACAATTTGGGTGAAAGGGACAACAGCGAGTGTTTTAAAAAGAAATAGACCATGCACGGGGGAAAAGCTAGTTCTAGAAAACTCTACTAATGGACTTTCCTCATTTGAAAGAGTATTTTTTTTCAGTTTTCTCAGAATTACCCTAAACATGATGCCCTTTGCTGTGAAGGAAAGGGAGGAAAAGGAGAGTAATATAAAACAGATTTACTAGGATTTTAAAACTAAGGATATCTATCTCACTTCTAAATTATAGTTCTACACAGACTTAACTGAAATGGTAACAAGAATATTCAGTCTTTCACTATGAAAATAAAAATTGGTCCTTGAGTTAAAGGACCAAGAGGAGTATTCTTGTTACCATTTCAGTTAAAGACTTTGTTTTTCTTTTAACTCTGCAGCTCCCTGTAATGATTTGTTTATATTCTATGATTGTCAGGGGTAACTGATGCTTCCAAACAAGAAACATTCTTAAAAGTTTTACTGTCCTTGGATATTCAAGTGCTAGCTTTATACTTAGCTCATTCTTAAAGAATGTTCTTCTGAGTATTGCTACTTCTCTTATATACAGTAAATCTTTGCTGTGAAATACAGAATGAATAGTGTTTTAAGTTTGGCTGCTACCCTGACCCCCAAGAAAAAGTGTTTACAATGGGATGGCTTTAGATAAATTTTCTGATTCGAGCTTTCTTCATGAAAGTATCTTATTTGTCCAGTATATCATAAGTAAACAGATTAGCTTTTGAGAGTTGTTTTTTATAATCGACAGTCAATCATGAGATTATTGACTCTTTAAATTAATTCCATCTTATTTTTCTAGCACATTTATTAAGAGGATGCTGAAAGTATGAATACAGGTGTCATGATTGTTCAAAATCCTCCAGCTAGAGCTTCTGATCCTATTCTTGCAAAATTTGTATTTGAGAACCAGTGAGCTAGTGATTATGAGTCTTCCTTTGTCATACAGCCGACAGGAGAAAGGTAGTCATGGATGGAATCCAATTATGAAAAGACTCTATCATTTATATTGTTTTACTTTAGTACATGAGTATTTTAGAATAGTCACATGAAAGTCTGATTTCGTCATTTTACAAAACTTGGCTAAAACCATCTGAGGAAATTGCAAACTGTGTGACAATCATCTAGAATAACTGTTTTAATAAAGGAAAAGTTCACAGGAAATGATTATTATAAGACAGGAAACAAAGATGTTTCTTACCTGTGAAGCCCTTGTTACATTCACAAAGAAAAGTATTTGGAGTAACATTGCTGCAGTTACCATTGAAACATGTATGTGGCTGGCACTGTCCAACTATTTCTGTACAATTTTTACCTATTCAGAAGGGATAATAGAAACATTGAACTTTAGTAAATATTTATATTTTTTCCTGAAATGTCAAATTTATATGTAAAATAAAATATTATATTTAATAGGTAGGTGGATGGTTAGATAGGTAATTGTGCTAATGTTGGTCACTAATTTTCACCAAATTTACTGATGTTCTAAAGCAAGGCAGAAAGATATTCAGCTGCTGCAATACAGGCTATGGTACTCAACCTCATCTGTCATACAGTTACAAATTCACATATAGCTCAAAATGCAGAAATGCTATTAGTATGGAGTATTTGTTTCTTTTTTACATGAATCTACTTCACAGTTTCTTCCAGCATTGCGAACAAAAGATGTTCTCACGTGGAGTCCAATTTGACTGCATTTTTCTTAATATGCAGCTTTCTGGAAATTACAATTCCAATTATGAGTTGTTTATGCTATTACAGCATATGGGTCTAAATACCATATAATTAGGCTTGTTATTTGAATTGTTACTATGAAATTATTCACACTTCAACAACTTTTCAAATTTCTAATAGACTTTATAATATGGCAGGCACTTTTTTCCTTCCTCACTCTCGTGTAGCTGTATCCATAATATATGATGATTTACTGGACCAGTATTGCCAGTACAAATTACAGCCAACGCTGTCCCATATAAGTTAACAGACCATTTTAAGAATTTCTTATTGATAACATTAAGTATCATGATTGCTTTTAACAGAAGTGCTTGTGAATCTCTCCATTAATTTGAATTAAAGTAGTACCGGACACTATTTTATAATATTATTTTCAAAGCATTTTACACAGCCTGCAGAAATCATAAAAGAAATAGAAAACATACTGCATACCATCAGTGTTTTCTACTATTTTACTAAACTTTGAATAATTATAAAAATGTTTTTCTCATAACACTGACTTATTCATACCTGCATAATCTTCTATTTGTAAATGCATTAGTAACCAAATTATTATGCAGTTTGAAAAGCAATTAAAAATAAATTACAGCAAACTTTATGCAACATCACCTTCATTTTTGTGCTCTATGAACCTCACTCATTCCTGACTCATCAGCTGTGTTTCATAGCATAGCATCACTATTGCGAGAGCACAAAAGTGCAGTCTATCAAAGAAACATTGCTAGTATTCTGCTCCGCAAGTACAGAAGGAACTACAACAATCCTTTTTGTGATGTGAATGAGTATTTCTGATACTTTCTAAAGGATTTCTGAACTCCATTGCTTTGAATGCAGGAATAATATACTCCTAATTTCCCTCATCCTCTTTTCTTCCTCCATGAAATGGAGATAACAGTTAGGTAAGAATGTATCTAATCATGCCTTACTCTCTGGTAGTCCAATACCAAACCCAGATGATGTTTTTCCCATGGGTTTTAGGTAAGTACTGCAATATTTCCTAGATAGAATTATGTGAATTCTTTTCATTTTTGAAATATTTGATTTGGTAATAATAGTACGTTTAGCAAACTCCTTTGGAAAGGAACTTTATAGCACAACAGAATCTGAAAGAAAAGAGTAAATATTTTGTTTTGCTTGTTCTAATTAAAAGTTTGACATTTCAATTAAAAACAAATTCTGATTTAAAAAAAAATAAATCTCTAATGTAATTTATAAGGCCTTTAAACTGAAAAGGGAGATTTCGTGGCAGGTTGAATGAAATGTTCATTTCAACAAAAACATTTGCTGTTTTTCAGCAGTTTGGTTAACTAGCTATTTTTGGGGGACCTTACTCCAAATGATTTATGTTACTTGGTGTAATAACTTGAACTGCTGAACAAACAAGCAAAGAAATGAGTTACTTCTGTAAATTCACAAGTACTTACTAATGTCTGATGCTTAAGTGGGAAAGAAGCATGATAAGAACTTATTCTGTTTTTCCCCACAATGCACACATAAATGTAGGCAAATACAAACTGTCTTCAAACATGTAAGAGAGACAGTGCAGGTGTGGTAGGGGCAATGGGCAATCAAATTACACAAAAACCTTGCTAACGATGTTCTCACTGTTTTATTACCCATTAAATAAAATGTATTATCTGTGTAACATTAATTCTTAGAGAGGAAAAGAAATACCTGAAAAGTTTGGAGGACACGTGCATTCGTAAGAATCTCCAGAAAGTTCTGATTTCTCAGTGCAGGAGGCATTGTTGTGGCAAGGTTTAGTGGAACACATATCAAACTTCTGGCAGAATCTTCCAGAATACTGCGAGAAACAATGGCAATTATATGCTTTTTCCCAAACATGGCTTAGACATTTTCCATGCCCAGAGCATAATGGTGCATTTGGAGACTGTTGGCAAAACTGCTGCTTCACGGTTATGTTCAGACGAAGGCCCATGTTGCACAATAGTGGGCCTTTCTTAGGAAGTTCTGCAAAGTAATGAGTTCCAACAGCAAGCCAGTTAGGGTCAACTTGGTGCAGTCCTCTTACCTGGCAAACAAAAATCAACCTCTCTTGAAGAAAACCGGCTTTAGGGCAGTTAATAAATTCTTCCTTGGAGACATTTACCAAATTCATTCCGTAGGACTGAAAGGATGGCTCAGAGGAGATGAAGAGACTATCACCTAATTGAAGCTGTAAGGGGCATATCTGAGGGATACTGAGATTTTGTTCTTCCGAGATTTCCCCAGTAATACTTTCATTCATATTCCAGCATTCGGTGTAAAAGTCTGAGCAGATGTTTTCCCTTGGTGTCCATTTTACTACACTAGGTTTTGGTTCCATTCGCCATTCAGCAGTCATTTGCCTCTCACATATTACCTGCCCATTTACAATGCATAATTGGAGAAAGCACACTAACATGCGAACTGCTGATTTTGTAGTCATTGTTTCACCTGGTAAATGGGAGTTGCCTTTCACATCTGCTTCATTATTGAGGATAGCTGCAGACCACTTGCTCCTTAAGGTTCGTCTGTATTTTCCATGACAGCCTAGGAATTCAAACAGAGAAAAATACATTTGTTTTCACACCAAATGCAGTTGAATATCAAAGCTCATTACAAAAATAGAAAATACACAACAAAGCAAGGTCTACATCTAATTACACTGATAGGAAACTGGAATAACTCCAATTAACTGATCAGAACTGTAACTGATACCACTGTAACTGAAGTCAGACTTTTTCTATTTCTATTCCTGCTAAAGATTTGATTTTCATTTAGTACATTTCACTATATTTGTGTATGGAAAAAAAAGAGCTTAAAAGCATACTTTCTGTATTCCCTCCCTCTGTTGACAAAAACTAATGATAACCAAGTTAAGATAGGATATCTGTGGCAAAACTAAGAAGTAAACCAGAACATCTAAGCTCTAGTCATGAGGTTTAATAATAGATGTTTTCCTGATAATGATTTATTATTAATTTATGATAAAAGTAGATATTTTGAAGATGTAGGTACGCAAATTATGGCTTCAATGAAGAAAACATACAAGCATATCCTCACCTTTTTTATGTTCACATACAGTCAGCAAAACACAATTAAATTCTTAGTTTTCGAAAGATATAACTGAAAAACAAAGGTCTTTAATCATATGCTTGAGGTTTTTGATGTATCACAGTCAAAGCCAGGTGTCTACAGAATCCTCCAGGACTACTTAATTTATAGAGAAGCATTTTTTGGCTCTTCAACATGTCTGGCAATTTTTATTGCATGTACATGAGTGATTATAGAACAGAAAGAAAACAAAAATAAGATAATGAATCTTATTCTTGGATTCTTACTGAAAATGATGAAAACACAATATGATGCTTAAGACCTGAGAAATTGTCCATAGCTTTGAGTTAATAACAGTTTAATTTGCCTTAAATATATATATTTCTCTCTTTCAGTTCTAGATTGTCTTTCTTTTTTTCTCAGTATATTTATCTTACACTTCAAAATAGTGGCCTCTAAACTGTCATTTACAAATGAGATAATTATTGTAAAGAATAAACGATATGGTACAAGGGAAGCCATTTAATAAAAATAAAAAATAGCATTTATATTTTGAAATTTGTTTACATTGTTTTCATTTTTACACAGCATGTGGAATGACATGTGGATGTGTATATTTCTATACCTACATGCACCTGGTCTGTCTCTAAAGTGCACATGGATGAGGATATTGCTTTAATTACATCATTTCATTAAATGTCCTCCTCATCCCCCATGTACTTAAATAATATTTTGGAGCATACTTTGGGCTTTGCTGAAAGGTCAAAACAGGACAAGAAAGGTACCATTTGTGGAAACGTTGAACTGGAGAATATTAAATGACTCAGTGAGCTCTTGAAAATTATAGGATAATATTGAAGGGCGGTATTCAGTCTCTCCTATTGTCACCTAAATTGGGGTGAAAACATCTAAAATTTAGCTATGTCCTATTAGTAAATTGCTGTGCATGTGAACCTGTCCCAATGACCTTTGTGCAGCAGAGTGACAAGCACTGTTTAAGCTTTTGAAGATACCAGAAAGGTATGGACTATGATAGTAACAATAGCAGATTTGAGGCTTAGAATATTAAAGTCAAAAGAGGTAGAAACTAGATTTTGATCCTCCTCCCAGGACAGTTTTTGTTTTAATTTAATTTCTGAATCACAATTTTGCCTTCAAGCAGTTGAAGTACACTAACCACCTAACTCCACAGCCAGGCAAGTGTGCTAATTTCTAATTCCTCTCTCTGTCTCTGTATTTCCACCCCTGGGAGCTAATTCCCCATTAAAAAAAAAAAAAAAAAAAAAAAAAAAAAAAAAAAAAAAGATAGGACATGGTTCTGCAAGAAAACTGCTATCCTTGGTACAGAATAGTCATAGTCTTTCTATTTTGAGACCCTTCCATTATTTTCAGAATCTCATGATGTTCAATGATACTATTAGATAATGTGCTATCAAATGTGTAGTTTGGACCATTTAGCATTTTTTTCTTTTAAGGTAACAGTGTTGAACTATTATGTCCATTATAGCTGCTATTACATCTGTCACTATTATCAGGTGCAAAAGTCTGTGCTCTATATTACTGTATATTTAGAAATCCTACATTCAGCAACCCATCTTTACATACCTTTTTCATAAAAGGCAAGGAGAAAATCTTCACATCTATAACCCCAAATGCTTCCATGTGATTCATGAAGACTAAGCAAAGTCCAAGACTGGGACTTGTATGGACACACAGTAAGATACTTGAAGAAAACCTAACTCTTATAGTTACATAAGGTTGGGTGAAAAGCAGCACAATACTCTATTTTGTACTAAAGGAGAACTAAAGCAGAAAGGTTTATGCATAGCCCCAGGGAAGTAATTTAAAAGCAAACATGAATCCCAAGTTATTTTCATTCTAGTTCAGTATATTAAAGATTATATTTTCTTTCTATTAATAAGAATTATTAAATAGTAATAAAAAAAAAAAGTATATTTTATGCAAGACTGAAGAAATACCCACAGAAGATACCTGACTCTAACAACTTCTCAGAAAAAAAAATAAAGAATCTATCAGAGAAGAGAATAAACCAGAAAATGCTTAGGAACATCATGTCACCATGTTGGGGCCAGAATGAACCTCCTCTTGCCACCTCCCCACACATCACACACACACTTTGTGGACTACCTGCCTGTGCTCGAAGTCAGCTCTGTTTGGATGGGGCTGCAACCTTGCATCAAACTGCTGTGAAAAGAGCTGAGAGGCAGCTGTGGGGGGGCTTGCTGGGGGTCCCCCCACCTCACTCAGGAGCTTCATTTAAGCTCAGGTTCTTGCCCTTGGCCCTCACCTATGCTCCAAATGGGCTGGTGCCTGACATTATACCTTGCTTATCTGGGCCTTGACCCTGACCCAAATAGTTGACTTACTGGCTTGATCTCAGGACCTGTCTCCTCACTGTGGACCTGCCTCGGAACCACTGGACTGTTGGCTGTCTCTGAGTGCCACCACCAGACCTGCTCTGTGCTTCTCACATGGGTGCTGTGGAACACTACCCCTTGTCACTGAGGTCACTGTCCTTGAGGTCACCTCCCCTCCCTTGCAGGACAGCCCATGCTTGCTGCTCCCTGGGACTGTGATATGCTTGCTTTATTTCCAATGCATATTTAAAAACATAAAATTAAAACATTACTTAATATGTACACATAATATAGGAAATGCCACAGATTATAGAGTGTGCAGAATTTGACTTCCACCCTTTGTGTGTTTTACAATATGCATTAATAGTCTCAATAACATAGCAACTTGTCCTCTGTAGTTCTTAGGAAATGATGCCTTATTTGTGCCAATCTTCATTCTTTGCAAATTATCCTTTCCTTATTTGCTATACACTGTTCAAAACATACAGTGTTTGCTGAATTATTATTTGCTAATATGATTTGCTAGAATAGTGAACATGCTAGACAGTGAATTTACCTGCATCTCAAAATACAGAATCCTTATTTCTACCTTATAGTTATACTATATCTATAGACAGAAGAAGTGGTGATGCAGCAATTGCACCAATCCATACAGTATCATTGAAGGCATAACAGTATTGGAATTTTACTTGACTCTAATTTATTGGTAGCTGTCATGGTTTAAACCCAGTCCCCACAGCTGCTCGCTCACTCCCTCCTGTTGGGATGACAGAGAGACTGGGAAGGGTAAAAGTGAGAAAACTCATGAATTGAGATAAAGACAATTTAATAGGTAAGGCAAAAGAGACAAACATAAGCAAATAAAAATAAGGAATTAAGTAACTACTTCCCACCAGCAGGCGGGTGTTCAGCTGTCTTGAGGAAAACAGGGCTTCATCATGTGTAACAGTTACTTGGGAAGACAAAACACTATAGCTCTGAATGTCTCCCCTTCCTTCTTCTTCCCCCAGCTTTTTATTGCTGAGCATGACATCATATGGTATGGGATATCCCTTTGGTCAGTTGGGGTCAGCTGTCCTGGATGTGTCTCCTCCCATCTTCTTGTGCACCCCCATCCTACTCGCTGGTGGGGCGGTGCGAGAAGCAGAAAATACCTTGACGCTGTGTAAGCACTGCTTAACAGTAACTAAAACATCCCTGTATTATCACCACTGTTTTCAGCAGAAATTCAAAACATAGCCCCATACAAGCTACCATGAAGAAAATTGTGTCTCTCAGCCAAAACCAGCACACCAGCCAGCATAAAATTCTGTTCAGTGATTCTGATATTGAGAAAAATAATAACAAAAAGAGTTAAACAAACACGTGCATAAACACCTATTACCTCCACACCCAAATGTGTGTTTGGAGTCTGTCCCAGTTGCTCCAGGGTGGTTGTAAGAGGTTGGGATGTTGTATGTAACACATTTTTTTCTGCTGTCCTGTGCTTAATAGATTCCTGAGGCTCAGTTCCTTATTGATCCAGACTTGGTATAAGTTGCCCATGGCTGCAGTCTCTGAGGATGTGCATAACCCTGTGGCATGGCATGCCTCCCCCAACACATCTCCAGCCCCTAGCAGCTACCACTACATATGCCTGAGTGGGACCATGAACTCCTCTGGCTTAATGAAAGTAAGACTCAGGTGGGTTTCCCTGCCACCCTTTATGTTGGTCCCAGAGCCCTCAGGAACCATCCATGAGGAGCAGAAGGTGGTTCATGGCCTGATCCCACTATAATCCTGCTACTCAAACCCAGTCCTGTGTGCCTGTTACATCCTACACAGCTCTCATTTACTTCGCTCAAAGTTTTGCTTGCTCAACTTGCACACGTAGCAGCGTAAGATCTAGAAACCTACCGAAAAGGCATCCCAAGGAGTCACAGAGGCAAAACAGAAGCTCGAAAAAGTATGTCTTCTTTCAAATTCTGTGATTCTGTGAAATGCCATGGTTTCACATAAATAAATAAAGAAAGAAAGAAATAAAAAGACATCCCTTTTGCCTGTCATCTTTATTGTACTTCTCTTTCTAAGATCGTGATGAAGCCCCTGATCATGACTGTGACCACGACTGTGACCTGC